TGCTGTTGGCATAATTAGTACAGCCATAAAGAAAAATGTACAATTCAATTCATACTTCACATCTAACAAACTAACAACCAAAGAATGATTTAGAAATAATCTAGAACACCAGGAAATGAAACAAAAATATACATGGTCTGAGAGTAGAGACAGCTTTTCTAAAGACACCACAAGGCAAAGTTTAACAGCTGACTACATAAAAATTTTAAATTACCCTGTAACAAAACCACCACAAATCAACCTCTAAGGGATATAGTTCACAGAGACCTCTTCAAAGCAACTGAGATAAAACCTAGTAATTAAGCATATGAATAGTTAATAAACCAAGAAAAAAAAAAAGACCTGGCTATCAAATGAAATACATACATATCACTATTAAATACAAATTAAGACAAGATGATTTACTGCCTGTTACAGAAAAAGATGTAAGAATTTTGAATACTAAAACAGCTAAATGAAAAAAGAACTGGAATATAAAGGTACAGCGACTGGGATTTAGTAATATTCTAAAAGTGTACTCCTTATACCAGCAATTCTGAGAAAGTTACATGTAATTTTCACATTATTTGTAATAGAAGTTAGAAATTTTGTATTTGTCAAAAGGAATTATTAAACTATAATCCTATAAATAATCTGCAATCATTAAAAGATAATTAACTGACATAGATGTTCACAATATATTAAATGAAAATGTTACATATCTGGGAGCTCTCATGATACCATCTGTAAGAGAAAAAACCCAGATATGCATACTCATATATCATAGGCAAAACACAAATTATTAATGGTTATCTCAGTCTGTTACATCTGATTATGTACATTTTATCTATAAGGAGGGGAAGATGAGGGTTCCAGGTTTTAAGCTTTGTCAAAAACCAGCAATGAATTACAAGTAGTCATCTTTACCAGAAAAGATTAACAGTCTGTTCTAAATACAGGCAAAAAGAAAACAAGGTTTTTTTAAAAAAGAAAAACCTGGAATTTTGATGGCAGTTTATTTACAGACTAGCAAACACAGCCTTTAAAAAAAAACAAATAGGTTATACATTAAAAGGTATAGGACTTTACTGAAAGTTCTTGCTACACTACAACAGCTTTACAAGTAACTGAGAAAAAAATTTAAAGGGGGATTCTCTTTACTACAGAGCTTCAAATGAACTCAATCAGAACTAGAATATTGTTTTTCAATAGTCAAAGATCCACAAAATGTCTACATATTTCAAATAACAAGCTGTTTCCATTATGATCAACTGTTTGCTTTCCCAATCTTCAACTAATTCCACTGGTAGCTTATTATTAATAGCTCTTTTTTTTAATACAAATAGGAATAAATGAAAATTGTCTGGAGAAGTCTTTAGTAAATAACAAACCATTACTCCCACTAGAAAGCCACTTTAAATTGTAAACTATAAAAAAGAATAAAAAGCAAACTATCTTTGTAAGCCTGATGGTACGTCTTGTTTAACTAGAATGCCAATTTCTATGAACTTTTGTTTTAACTAATCTTCTAGTATGTAACTAATCATAGTCTTAAAATTTTGGGAGGGGAGGTGTTAGGGATGGAACCTAAGGCCTTGAACTTGCTAGGACAGCTGTACTACAGAACCACACCTCCAGCCCAGAAAGTTCTTTTAAAAATACTATCCAAAGTTGGGCACAGTGATGATCTCAGCTAGTAGGCAGGTTAAGGCAGAGGCAGGAGGATCAGGCAAGTCAGGGTGATGCTGTCCCAAAATAAAAATTATAGAACTGGAAATGTAGCTAAGTGGCAGAGCACCAAGAGGCTTCAATACCAGGATGGAAAGAAGGAAGAGGAGTGAAGGAGGGAAGAAAGTATTATTTAAAGCCAGCACAGAAAATCTTGAGATCTTGTCTCAAGATTTTAAAAATGTAAAAGGCTGCTATATCTCAAAAATAGCTATAATGAGTAGACCCTACACACTTCTAAATAACTTCTAAATTTTGTTTTTCTGAATTAAAAACTTAAATGAGCTTTTCAAAAGCTACTAGTGTTGAACTATTAGTCCAGTATTTTAAATTTAATAATGTAATTTTACGATAACACCAGTCAGATTATTAATGCATTTTTTTCATTAAGAAGCTAGATAATGCCTCAGGAACAAGCAATGGTAATCCACTTGTCCAAAATAAAAAAGTCCTGTGATCCCTCCAAGCCTCATCTCTCTTAGTTCACAGTGAAGAAACCATATTATACTTGTCATTTGTAGATTTTTAAAACACCAAAATCGTTATCCAAGGGAAATCAGTAGACATGTACACAAAATTTGTATTTCAGTTTTATTTAAGCCTAGGGCTAAAACAAATCAAAATTGGATTGAGCTTACAGCAAATACACCAAAATCTTAACTCACAAGTACCAGTTGTATCAGTTTGGAAGCATTTAATCCACTTTTTTCCTTTTCTTGAGTAATGTTATCAACTTATCACAAGTTGGCCAAATTCAACTTAAAATTTTTCATCACTGAACTTTATAGTTTTTTTTCTTCCCAGACCTTATTTCCCTCAAGTTTCAATTTAAAATTTTACAAACAAATTTCCATTCTTATATACACTTAAGTATAACTTACATATATCTGGGAGTAGCAGATACCATAACTAGCTTCTCCAGACATTTTTAAAACTGCTCTCAGCCTACTAGAACAATCCTTTTACACCATTCCTGTTTATTGATGTATTCCAAGGACAACAACAGTACCTGGCACATGGTAGGCACTGAATATGTAGTTGTTGACAGCAATGAAATGCTGAATTACAGCTAAAGTAATTCACATTCCACAAATTATTTTAAGGTAACCCCTCTAGAACGAGTAGCTTAAAATTTCAAATCCCCAACAGATAATGAATTAAAGATTTGGGAACCACACTCAGTTGCATGCATGAGAACTTGCTCTGTCAGGAAATACAAAACGTAATTTCACAGGGGGAGAAGAAAAGTATTTTCCCCGTTACACAGGTCACTCTTTTCTGTTTTTACCTTACTTGCAATCTGACTTACCTGCTTCTTCCCCAAAAAAACTTAAGTATTTTATGTTTAGATTCTGTTAAAAAAAAAAAAAAAAAGTGACTACTACAGTTATTAGAAGCGAAAGAATGATATCCCACTTTTTATTAATCCAAATTCATGGAATTGAAGTTAAATATTATGGAAGACTGCATGAAAATTTTTTACTACCTTAATTTCATCAATTAAGACACATTCTTTCATTTAGTATCTTTGAATCTAGGATCATTTTACAATTGATGAACTCTTTAGTATTGCATTATGGTTCAACAGGCAATTTTTTTTCTTCTAAGTGGTACACAACATATTAGTATGGCTCACAAGCAATGCTGTCCTTAGGATAGGAAGTATAGTTCAAATTTGTCATTTCAAAGCCAACAATTTCCCTGTCTTCCCCACTCTCCCAACATAAATACATAAGTGCTTAATTAGAAAAACTATCCAAACACAATTCACTTTTATATAAAATATTTAATTTTTAAAACACAGGCTATTCATGTCACATAAATATCTTTAGATTTAGGTTAGCTGCTTATAGTCAGCAGAATTATCAAGTGTGACTATTAAGAATAACTTAGATACTGTCACTTGTAAGAAAGTCTAAAGTTCTAAGACTCACCATATTAAATTTTCAGACTTGAATACTGTAGCTATTTTGCTAAATTTAAAATATTTCTTCACTTCTTGTATTTTATTATATGTTGTTAGTATTCAAATAAAAACAAAATAATTTTTCTTTCATTCATTTCTTTCTCCCCAAAATAAAACATTACATCAAAAAGTAAAATGGCCAACTAACATCAACTCATTTTATACTAGTAAAATGGTAACTTATGCATGTTATTATATCCTGTTTTGAAGTGCAGGTTCACAAATCAGAGAAAAGAAAGCATGGGGCTAACTGGCTTTCAGACCTGGAGCAATTTCCATTCTATAACAGTTGTTCCAGTTTAAGACTCCAATAATAATTTAAAAAAAAAAAAGTTATCAGAACAGTTAAAACTAAATGGTTAATTGGTAAAACTTTAAATTTCCAGAGCCTATGTTTCCATTTAGTGATGAAGGTTAATTACCTTTGGTTCTTTCCAGAATATGTTGTATGGGTGTATACAACACATGCATAAAAACTTGACAACACAAAATGAGGGTTATTCCAATTTCTTTTTTTTACTTTTAGCGAAAGAAAAAATACGTTAAGATGCAATAATGCTGCTCTAAGTATGGCAGAAGCCATAATAAACTTCATAAGGATGAGGGGAAGGGGAAAAGTTTTCTCCATTTTCTTTTTGCTTCCTTCAATAAATTCAACCTAGGCAATGTTTCTAGTTAACAGGTTCACCTTTTCTTGAAATGGCAAATGAAAAACTTAAAATACTGTGTTTGCCACCCCTCCTCCCATGAAGTTTAACAAATTGATGTAAAATCTATTAATCTTTGCTTCTCAATTCCTGCCCTCTAAATGGAAACTGAGATGAGGCAGCCTGAAAGAAAAATTACTCTAAAATTCTTAAGTAGCTTCCTACTGTCAACTATTACATTACAAAACTTTTCTGAACTTTTCAGAAGTGACAGAAGGTACTCATTACTGTTCTACTCCCTTTCTTTGCTTTCACTCCCCTAAGAGGAGATGGTGGTAGTGACAGTTAACACAGCCCAGAGACAGGCAAAACAGGAAAAAATCTAACAGGCAGAGGGAATGGACCTATCAGGAACTGAACAGGCAGCCCCTAAAAACTTGAGAGCCTCCTTCCTCTTATACAACGCATTGATTCCCTTTAAAAGACAAATGGGTGTAAACTGCTTTTTCAGACCTTAAGCTTACCCGTTAAGGCACTTACTTAGCCCTTCCCACCCCACCCTTATTTTTCATATATAAAACCCACTATTTCATCTGAATGCATTTTGCTAGGCTATGGTAATCTGTAAAACAAAACAAAAATAACGTTGACCATTTTTTTTTATATATAAAACTGTTGCATCAAGAGAAAGGTTGTGTTTATTTTCTGAAATGAGCACAAAGTACACCTTTCACAATAACACTGAAAGCAGGTGCAAGGACTGACAGTGACCTTTGACTAAAAGATAGCTTTGTAAAAAGAAAAATACCAGATAAATCAGTGCCCTTTCTGATTGTTGTAAAACTGGAGGGGGTCAGGGAGGGGTTGTTTGTTACAGAAAAGTTGGTCCAAACTTACAAAAAAAGCACAAATGTGCATAGTTCAGAAGATCTGCAAGAGGGCCATAAAAAGCGTATGTCCCCTAAGGTTAGCATCCACTTAAAACTGCAAGAATACAAAATAAAATTGTTAACTAGAATTTGTGAAGATGTACAATCAATAGATCTAATTTTAAGAACAGCATGAATTTAAGCAAAGTTTTTTTCTTTTTTTAAACTATTGTATGCAAGACCCTTTTCCACATAAAAATAAAGCTGTTGTTGAATTAATATTATTCAAGTCTCTTGGATTGCTGCCTTAAATTGCAGCTAGAAAGTCTTTCCAGATAAAAATGATGTGCCTGAGGAAAAACAGATACTCAATATGGTAACCCTCTGCCTCGACCTCTGCCAGCTGATGTGCTGATATGTCCCCTGTATCCTTGTGAATATCCAGGGCCTTGAGCAGGGGAAGTCCAGGTCTGCCCATGCATGAGGCCTGGGCCGCCAGGATTTTCCTGTAAATTACCACCATAGTTATAGTTGTGCATCTTTGCCGGCAAAGGATGAGTACTCTCTGGCCCCGCAGAAGGGTCATTACTATTTGCCAGGACTGCAATAGGTCCATGACTGTATTCAAATCTGTGGTCCTTGTCTCCACTGAACAACATGGGACCAGTATTGAGGTAAATGTCTCCATATCCAGCTACGGAACTGGGAAATGACTCAGAGAAGGCAGAAGGCTGAGGTGGACCACCAGAATGAGATGAAGCAGTACTGTAGTTATCCAAAGGCTGAATATCTGAGTTTCCAATGAAGCTACGTCGTTCCAACGGTGCAGCAGAGCTACCTCCTAGACCATCATTGCTAACATAAGGAGCAGATGAGAAAGATGATGATGATCCAAAGCTGTCCTTGTAGTCTGAAGTGGGCACGTAAGTGTCTCCTGCTGGATAATCTATACCGCCTTCTCGTTTGGGTTCATCCTGGGGCTGATGCTGAGCAAGCAACTGTAACAAGGCTGCTTTCACTCCAGCATGAGGGTCAGTTAATGAAGAACTAGTAGTGGGTACATGCTGGTTTTCTGTCCGATAATCCAAGTCTTCCTCGGTGACTGGTGGTGGCTCAGGAGGCTCAGGAGGTCGTTGATCAGGAGGCAAAATCCGAGGTCGCTCTGGTTCTGGTGTTAACTCCAGTCTCCTCCTATCTTGGTGCTGGATGAGGTCATCTTGCCCTGAGAGAAAAATAGCAACAAGTCAAAGCTACCATGGAAAACTAAATATTCCAAAGCCAACATTTCCTATGCAATGGTCCTAAAGATGATCTGACATTTCATTTCTGCAAAAAACATTAAATGAAAAGGGATAAAGGTGGCAAGTGCTGTTACCTGCTATGTGAAATATTTTATTGTATTTAGCTTTTCAAAGTTAATTCATATATCCCCATTTATTTACTGCTTGAGGTATAAAGGTTACCATATATATTACATTTATAACTTAGTCAAGAATCACTTGGTTTTTTTGTCCTTGCTTTTGGTTTTGTATTTTAGGGAAGGGTCTACAGGGTATTCAGGGTCTCACTACTAGATCCGACTCATAGCGTCTGCCTGTTTACAGCCTCCCAAGAGCTGGGATTACAGGTGCGCGCCACCATGCCCAGTCTCAATACCATCGCAGCGTATCCTGGGGCGGGGCTGGCATGGCAGACCGGAGGATCAAACCCCGGGCCCTGCGCCTGCTTGCAGGCACTTTAATCCGCTGAGCTATTTGGCCAGCCTTGTGCAATTTTTTTTTTTTTTTTTTTTTTTTTGCCGGGGGGAAGGGAGTGCTGGCTCAGTCTGCCTTAAGGGTGGGCCTGGGGATGGAACCACAGTCCCCTGCACTTGACTGGGTTTGCCAAAGAAGGCTCTTAAAGAATTGAGCTAACCCAAAAGCCCCTCACTTTGTATATGTATAGCATTCACAATGAATTATATCACACATGAATAAGCTGTTAAAAAAAAATCCACTCCTGGGAATAAACAGACTAGGAAACTAACCTCCCTACCAGTGACCTATTTTCTGGAAATAGCCTGACAATACCATTGAATAGAAAATTAAGAATAGGAATCTACTCCAAAGGATCCCAGTACCCTCATACTCACCCGATACTGGCGTGCTAGGTTCTGGAGGTGGCCTGAGTTGTAATGACGCATCATGTCCCGAACCATTTTCCCTGTCTTCTGGTAGCACATCTTTCTGCTTTGACTGCTGAGCCTTTATTAACTGAGTCAACAAAACTGCAAATGCACTCTGCACAGCCGCCTGGGCAGCATCAGTCTCCACTTTAGGTTGGACAGTCTGAGAAGAAGGCTGAATTCCTCCCAATGGTTTCGAAGACTCCTGTTGTGGTGTTGATGGATCTGTCTGTTTTTCACCTGTTGCCAAAATTCCAGCAGGAAGGTTTATTTTATTTAGTTGCTGTTGAGTCTCAGAGTTTACCTTAATGTTCAACACTTGGACAAAATCAGCCATATTAATACTTGTTTTAGACTGTAGTAGGTTTAGTAGAATTGCCAATTCATTGTGGTTTAACTGTTGTCCAGGGCCTGTTATTACTAAAGACAAAATTCATATTAATTAGAACTGCCACAATTCACAGGTCTTCCCACCCTCCAAAATGGCCACCAAGTTACCATATTAAATGTACATTTGAGACTGTTTCAGAAACACTGCAGTGGCTACTTTGTCTAGTTCACTGTCATGACACTTTAAGATGAAACTATAATATAAACAAAGGTGAAAAAGAACTGCAGTCTTTTTTAAACAGGTAGGGGTAAATATTTCAAAAAGAAACTCAAAATAATTACCAGAACCCACACACTATGGATTTACCAGGAAACAGCATCTTATGAAATGCAAATGAATGATGATGATGGTAGCTAACAGATTGTCATGTTACTAAGAATTTTATATCCTTTATTCTTTACAACCAACTTACAAGGAAGGCTTTATTTTTTAGCCTTGTTTTACTCAAAAAGAAACTAAACAAACAACTTGCCCAGGGTCTCCCATTCCCTAAGTGGCAGAGATGAGATCTGATTTCTAATTCCAGAATCTGAGCTCTTCTCTACATTTTATTCTCTAAACTAAAGGGAAAGCTACCCTTTGCAATAAACTGAAAGCAGAAATGTTTTCAGACTCTAATCAGTATTTGTGTTTCAGGATACATGCTACTGAAGCAGGCACAGTACCTGTGTTTTTGAATTCTTTATAAAGTTACTATGGCTAAATTAGGAAGGCCTACAGAAATTCATTTTCATATGACAGGATTAACTGGCCAGTAAAACAGACTCAGTTGTTTTTCCAACTCTCACTTTAGCCTGGGATGGTTAATACAGGTTTTTACGCAACTTTAACTGAATCACATATACCAGCAACACTCAGTACTATTATATACAGTAAGTGATAAGGTGACAAGTCATGACAAGCAATCCCCACAACAAACATGAGAGACTGATAAGAGAACACTAAACTGAAAGAATATTAATGCTATTCATATTGCTATATTTTTAACTTATATATCTGAGATATTTTTATTACTTAATATTAGTTTTAGGTTATTTCAAAACAAATTTTTCCAAGTTTTTATTACTTCCTTTTTATTACTTAATATTAGTTTTAGGTTATTTCAAAACAAATTTTTCCAAGTTCTTCTTAATGATGTACAATAAGATCAAACATCATCTCCTAGCATGTTTGTTTACTATATACCAAGAAGAACTTTTCCTCATTTTCCTTTTTATTTCTCTACTAGCACAAGTGTCTTCATATGACCCCAGGAAAATATTTTTTAATAAAATCTCTATTCTACAGAGGAGCATTTTATTTAAAGACAATGATGATGGAGATTCTAACTTTTAATAGAGTCTTAAACAAGGAAACAAAAAAGGATGAAGTAAAGGGGAGAAAAAAGAAAAAAGGAAAAGAAAGGGCAAGTAATTTTTTTTTGCAAGTAATCTTTTATCAGATAAAATAAGAGTAAAATAATATCACTAAAACAGAGTAAAATACCTAATAACCTTGTATTAGGTTCACTCCTGTATCTCTTAATAGTCTTGTTAAATATGACAGTTATTACCTGGGACAACTGACCATACTATACAAATATTCTGTCACTGCCATTTCAAAATCTCTAGAGGTAGACAGTGTGTAAAACATAAATACAAATTCAGAATACTTAATTATCATTTGCCTTTGTCCAACTTTTACATATTTGTAAGATAAAAAGCATACTCAACGTAATAACCTATTAGCCCTCAGCAAGAGTACTTTTGAACAATTAACCATTGCTTTCATTTGTTTAAACATCTGAGGTGCCTTACATCTGTAGTGAGGAAAGGTCAGCGACAAGTTTGTAGCATTCATAGTAATCTTTCTCAGCTAATCTATTCTATATTTATATTCAATGTTATCCAGAGGTCTGTTGTAATCATCTGACTGATCTACATTCATTTATCTCCTAATATGTGCCAGTGCACCTTCACTCTCACACTCCCATATGCACACATTCACACACTTACATTCTATAACTATCTCCGTCTTCACAAAATTCTAAAATTTTGTGAAGCTGAAGATGTTTCTGGATACCTTAGGCAAAATGAGGAAGTGGATTTTATTTTGTACAACTCATTAACTAAATGATATGATTTTAACATTTCTGAAAACACTGAAGAGGCTAATTTCTCATAAAGAAAATCACTCTTATTTGCATCAGAAAAGAAGCTACCAAAATAACTGAACATAAAAAAAACTTTATCATATTTTATGTCTGGCACAAATACCAGATTCAAATCTTTGAAATTCTAATACAATCAGAGAAATATCGTTAAGAGCAACCTGAGGACATTATAAATTGCATGAAAGAGCTTCCATGATGCTTTCTGGCTGTCTTGCCTATCTTCTTATTCCTTAAGTTTCCACAGACACACAGAGTGCTGAGCCTTCCCAAGATAGTATTAGTAAATGATGTAGTGACTCCTGCACTATGGGAAAAAAGGAAAAAGAAAATCTGACCAGTCACCAATTAAAGGTAATTTGATGCTTCTTTCAAAATTATCTTACCTGGAGACTGTTTAAAATTGGGATGCCATTAGCAATGTATCTTCTATAAATAATAAATAATAAGATAATAAAGAAATACCAATTCCATGAATAAACCCTAACTTTCATCTTTTAGCCACAAGAGGCTGTAGCAGAACAATATAATCAACATCAGCCACAAGACAACATGAAGAAAATCAACCCACAGAAGCATTACTGACCAGGTGCTACATTCGAGTTGCCCTGAGATTTCAGCTGTGTAGCTGGCAGCACACCTTGTGGTGTATTGGTTCTGCTGTCATCCAAACCCAAAGATAATTCCTTTCTGGGAGCCTTAATTGTGGAAACATCATCAGTCATGCCCATCTGTTTTTGTCTTCTTCGCTTTTTACTCCATAACTCATGACAATCTTGCCATAAAGGAAGGCTGAAAGAATTTGTAAGTACAGAGTTGTGAATGGCATTTAACAAAAATATGCTAACAATACACACAATGTAGCACCAGAGCCATCACTGTCCCAGAAGTCATTGTTGAAGACTTCATACACAGACTCTATAAAACCCCTTCAGTAAAAATCACCCTTGAAGGCCCACCTGCTTCAGTTTTATCTTTGCATATGAACTATTTCTTCTTTGGCTTCTGAATAACTGATAAATAATCGTTTATCAATATTATGAATGAAAAACATATTCATTAAAGCAGACTAGCATTATCCTTGGTGCAACCTTTTAAAGGCAAGTCTTATTAACCATACATTGAACAGAAAGGAGGCAGAAACTAGATACGCAAACAATAAAAAAGTAAAAGCTAGAACATAACAATTCATGAAAAACTTTACTAGAAAACTTTTTTTTAGGTAACCTCTTACTTGCTTCTATAGCTGAATGCTCTGGCATTAAACTGAAGCTACAGGTGAGTTTCAAAAATAGGTACTCCAGGCACAGAAAGGCTCATCAATTACCAACAAAGTTCTCAATACCAGTTAACTGTGAAAGTCACCCACAATTCTGAAACAATTGTACCTTAATGTAATTTCATTAAAGTACTAACACTACAGAATGACTTTTGCTTAAAGAAAGAATATTTGACTTTTAAATATTTTCTTCATATTCTAATTTGGAAAAAAAAAATGTGGATTTTTGTGTACGTATTTCCAAGAACACTGAGGCTTGGAAAGGTTAATAAACTTGCCCAGAATACCTATAAGTTCCTTTAAGCAAGCCCACCTGATGATATACCCAAAGTCCTCAACCTGGATGTTTACCTTGATAGGTATACATACTTGAGACATTCCAAAGGGTACACCTATAATTGGCTGAAGGGAATTTCCATAGCCACATGATTTCTAAGACTGACCTTTAAGAATGGCTTGCATATTCACGCAGGTTTTTTCACAATTATTGTTGCTTCGTGTTATAAAGGCATATGTAATATTATGATTGAATCTTAGCAATATAGTATTAGTTTTAAAATGCTATTTCCAAAAGATTACAATGACACCTTTTTACAAAATTAAAAACTAAAATTTTAAAATATAAATTTTTATGAAAGTACATACAGATGGCAACAAGTAGATACCAAAACTTAGAAACAAAAGGGATGATGGTTACCTTAAGTGGAGGAAGGATAAGGTGATGGGTGGGTGAAAGAGTTATATGATTAAAATAGGGTATTTTCAAGGTTCTAGCTTTTGGTTGGTAGGTTCATGGCTGCTTATTACCATTATTTAAAGTAACTATCAAAGTAATTAAAATAATAAAAGAGAGCCATGCATGGACCAATGATGAGTGACACAAGGATTATGATTAAACCAATCTATGCACCTGAGGTCTGAAAACAAAACAAAAGCATACCTCTTAGCCATCTTACTATGGTGCATTGCCTCAGCGTGTATAAACCTCCTGGAGTGACAAACAAAGGGACAATTTGAAATATTGATATTGGGAAGCTTTAAGGCATCATAAACCCTCCAAAGACATTCCTTTCTTTGAACGTGCGTGTGCTTTGTATGACGTGGGGGTTAGGTTCTATTGGCATACTCTGAAATCAGATACACTGCAGTACTACAGAGTAGGTTAAAGGAAGCGATTTCACTTCTTTCATCCTGATGGCCAAGAAATGCAGTGATCTTGTGGGAAAGCATTAGGAGAGGAGAGCTAACATCCATAAAAAGGGCTTTTGTTGCCTCCCACAACAGCAAGTTGAGAGATACTTTATGGATTACCTCAATACTCATCTCTAAAAGATAAAACACTACCCTACAGATAATTAACATAGGTTAGTAGTGCTGATTCACGTAAGACCAGGAATGTATCCAAATGACCAAAATTGATGTTGCCTTCAAGGTTCAAACACCTGCTCTGCCACTTTCTTGCTGTGTTTTGTTAGGCAAGTAAACTGACCACTGTGCTTCAGTTTCTTATCTTTTAAACAGCAAGCTGGGAGAAGTGCACATCTGTGATCTCAGCACACAGGAAGCTGAGGCAAGGGGACTGGCAAGCTGAGGCTAGTCTGGCCTCACCAGTCAGTTCAAGGAACTGCCCTCACTGCAAAGAGATGGCCTCACACAAACAAAATAATAAAATAAAACAAATCAACAATGCTATCTATTTCACAAAGGTAGAGGTAAAGTATGTTAACATGTAAGCACCTGGACGATGCTTCTCACATAGTCGGCACTATATTCACATCTAATATCACTGTCACCTGTTTCCCATCAAGTACATAATGAAATATTTATTTCAATGACAAATGATCATGTTTCTCTTTATCCACTGTTTAAGGCTTCTTATACTGCTGTTAACATAAAAATAAAACTGCATACTACTTCCCATTCTAATTCACATTTTAACTATGCATTAATTTTTCCTTAAATACATCAGAAAATCTGAAAGACATTCAATATATTTAATGAAGCTAATTCTGATACTTAATATTCCATTGTCATTTGGTTTCTTTAAAAAACTGATTAAAAGAATGTGATACTTGAGTTCAATCCCCAGTTCTGCCAAAATAAATAAATAAATAAATAAATAAATAAATAAATAAATGTGATACATATATTTCCCAAAGGAAAATCCTGTCTTCATGGGCCTTACCTCAAAAGTGACTTACAATTTTAGCTATTTTTATATCCTACTACAAAATAATGAGATATTTTCTATACGTATATAGCTTTTAATTTAAATATGTTGTTTGGTTAGTTTCTATTTGTTTGGCTATTTTTTATGGCTTTGATTTAGTAAAGAGGTGTTGGGAATTGAACTCACGGCTTTTCATATTCTAGGCAAGGTTTACACCATGGAGCAATACCTCAACTCTTATTTAAACCTCACCTCATCTTGACCTAACTGCCTTATTTATCTAACATGATGAAATCTATTAAATATTACTGGTTTACCAAAGGTTCTTCAAATGTGCATTTTTGTTTTTAATGAAAAAATGCAGTCAGGTGTGCTTTGATAAAAAGTCTTATTTGTGTGACTTATTTACAATAATTGCAGGGTTTATAAGACAAAACTACAAGTATTAAAAGAACTTTTAATAAGCACTGGTAAAGCCAATGAAAAAAATGAATGATTAATGACTAGATTCTTTTGGAAATCAGATAGTTTTTAATTCTTTAATGTCAAAAAAATTGAAAAGTTTTAAATAGACATATGAAAAGTTGTCAAAAATCATCTCTGATATAAAAAGCAAAGAAACTTCTGGTACAGGATGTGGAAAGAATTCAAAGTGATTAATAGTGACAAAACTTCCTGCCTCAAATGCTTATTTACAACATTTTTCACAAAATAAAAGAGCCAGGAAAATAGTTCAGTGGTAAAGCAGAAGCTGCATGTACCCTTGGGTTCAGTCCAGAGCACTGTAAAAATAATTGAAACAGACATATAAAATATGAAATATGTCTCATTCTAAAATAAGGAATATTAAAATAAATTGTAAACTACTTACTTTCATTTGACTGCATTCCCAACAAAATTTACCATTTTAATCTTTTTATTAACTGAAAATATGTATTACTCATGAAGTATGGTATTATTACAGACACAGGAAACATTTAAAAATTATATTTCCATTTATATAAATACCCTTGTTTTAAAGAAACACAATAGGGTAATTAAAATATATCACATTAGAATAAAACCTGACCAGAATAACAGACTTTCAAGATGAAAAAGATTTGAAATCCACTGAAAAGTAGACCTTCTGCAAACTATTTAAACCTCTGATTTAAAAAAATTTAATTATCAACTGAAATGGATGAGTTTTACCAGAATTCTTTCAAAGGGACCAACTAAACCAAATGATTTAAAATTAGCAGTACCAGGTCTGGGAAAACAGCTCAGTGGCACAGCACCTGCCTGGCAAGTACAAGGTCTTGAGTTCATTTCCCAGTACAAAAAAAAGCAACATAAAATTAACAATACCAATAATAGACCAATACATTACATTCCTCTTGATGTAATACATTAGGAACATACGTGACCATGAAGGCAGGATTCTTGACCTGGAAACAAAGTTAATCTAATTCTGATCACAAGATAGCAATCAAATCTACACTGTGGGATGTTCTACCAAACAACTCACTTGGATGCTTAAAAAAATGTCCATATAATACAAGCCCTCTGCAAGGAGCTGAAGGCTCAAGAAACATGACAATTCATTATAATAACCTCTGAATGAATTTTTATATTTCACAGTCTTTAAAGAGTACTGAACCACTAAGGAAAGTTGAATACACACACTACCAACTAACACAATGTAAAATTTCTTAGGCTTTACAACAGTCCAGTAGGTACGTGGAGTAAAGTTTTTATTTCTACAAATTCAGGATGGAATACTTATTTTAAAAAAAGGAACACTTCCACAAGACAATAGTCAACCACTTCAGGGAAAAAGCTGATATACAGTGATAGCACAAATATGTCCAAATCTTAGTAACATAAACCTAGGTATAAAGGAATTTTCATTATACTATTATTTATATTTTTTGGTAGAGTTAAACTTTTCCAAGTCTAAATTCAAAACAAAACAAAACAAAATTCTTCTAGGTACTACACGCAAATCTTCCAAAACTACTGGTACATACTGATAAACCAAAGGAGAAAAAAAAGAAATTACCAATTCAGTGAATGATTCAACATGTCAGATACTTTTTTTCTTTCAAGTTCAGTAAAACTTACTGAAACCTGACTACAACTGCATGGAAATGAGAAGCCCAATCTGTTACATAGAAGAGCCAGGATTTGAACTCTAAAACCCATGTTTATTCATTGAAACTTCATTAATATGCTCATGTAGAAACACTGGATTATAGGATTAGGCTTTTTAAAAATGGTATTAGGGATGCTAGAGAAACATTCTACCACGTCAGCCCAATAGGCTTGCTTTTAAGGATGTTCCTCATCGTGTTAAAAACTACTAATACCTACAAAGTATTTACCCTTCCCTCTCTCCTCAAATCACTCCTAGAGAAAATCAGTCCTAAGAAAGCAGGGGAACATGAACTCAGCTATTCTAATTCTCAAACTATGAACTCTAACCCCACCAAACAGTAATGCATTCCATGCATTCTAATATTCTTCAAATGTTAAGATTTGTATTCTTGGGCAAGTTTTTTAACCTGTTTGAGCCTGCCTCCTCCTCTGTAAAATGGTGGTAATAACAATACCTACCTCAGAGGATTATAAAGATTAATATAACACATGAATCATATTTAAAAGAGCACTCCAAATTTTGGCTAAAGAAATACTAGTGGTAGTATAAATACCAGTAAAAAAAACAGTAATTTTTTTAAGAGCTGAAATATATTCAGAAAATCTTGAACTAATCCAACATTTGCTGTAGAAAGGCTGCTTTAACTAAGCCATTGGTTAGCTCAACATTAAGGTAAAGCATCTGCATTCTAGATATTCAGATTACATTTAAATTTTGGTTTCTTTCAACCTAACCAGGATCATCTGATAACTATATTTATATTAATCAAGAATGTCCAGATTCTGCATATGTGGGATCTAATATAAAAGAAGTCACTTACTCTGGTGGAGGCATTTTTGAGGGTTCCACATCTCGCAGGAACTCACACTGAAGAGCCTGCTCAGCAGTGCAGCGCTTACTAGGATCCAAGGCGAGCATGTAATCAAATAAGTCTAGTGCAGCTGCAGGAATGCTAGCACAAGAGGATCATAAGAGTCATATACATTCTCTAGACACAAGCTCAGTGTTTCTTTAGGAACATTACTTTTAAGTTATTTCAAATTAAAAATGTTTATTTTAAATGCTAATATTTATATACTTATAATACTTTACTTCAATTATACCGAACTTGCCTCTGACAAATTATTTCACTATTTTTATACAATTTTGTAACTGTGGTAAGCAACAATGTACTACCCTATGGGCAATCTGCTGTCATATTTTAAAAACTAAACAAAATAATAATTTCTTTTATTTCTGTCTCAAAAATGAGACAAGTTTTTCTGGACAGTTCAGGTTGGCCTTGACTCACTATGTAGCCCAGGCTGGCCTGGAAATCCCAGTAATCCTCCTGCCTCAGTCTCCTACAATGATGGCATCACAGGTGCATATCACCACACCTGCCTGAACAAAGTAACAGTTTCTTAAAATAAAAAAGTAAGCCCAAGCAACTTGAAAGCTGTTTTGAGAGAATGTAAAATCATACTTTCAAAATTCTCTCATGTAAGTAATACATTAAACATTCAACCCAATCACTGATTCCATAGTGATGTCAAAAGGCAAATTACATGTAGCAAAAAGAAACACAAACTTAAGTAGCCTATAAGATTATGACAGATCTAGTTCAGGTAAAAGGAGGACAGAATGGTGTTTAGAATTCACAAGAGATAACTTCTTTTTGAAAAACATTCAATGCAATATGGATGTTTAAGCATCCCTTTCTTACAAAACAAATTCTTCTCTTAACTTTCGACGATACTGCTTCTTTGGTTTCATAGTGTTGAAATATGGTAGTTTTATTACATCAGGCCACACCGCCGGACACGGACTCCCACATATACGGCTAAACAACACAAAAAGAATCACATCATTATATGCTCAAGACAAACATAAACTAATTTTTAAATAAGCAGAAGTTGAAGCCTTGATACAATGTATAAAAAGTATAGTATTTTAGAATTCTGAATTTACTCATTTTAAAACAATCAATCTATTTTCAGTGATGCTTCTAACAACCCAAGCATCTGGTTCCTACAGAGGACCTTCATGCAGGAAGGTACCTAGCACAAAGACTACAACCTCATGCAAACTGAAGACTCAAAAGGTAAAATTATCTTAAATACTTAAGTTCTTTACTGCAAAGAGTATTACTGATCACAAGATATTTAGAAATTTTAACTCCTTTTTCTGCTTATCAAGAAAATCCTTATTAAATTGCTATGAATTAGTAAATTTTTGTATAACATGAAGAAATGTTTAAGCAAAAAAGTAGGGAGTGAATATTTTTAAAATAATGACTCAGTAAATAAAATATTGGCTAAATATGCTTCAGTACATCAGATTTTGATATATGAATACTGTAAAACTGCCAACTGATCTTCAGATAATGTAGATGCATCACTGAAGAAAATGAGAATTTTTTTTACATGCACAAGCGTAGTATAAATGTAATGATCAAGGATGCCCATGTGCTTCAGAATGCCGATTGAAAAGCGCACCCATGTCATGAGACAGCTTTTCATATTTTCAAATTTATGCCAATGAACTGTACTTTTCTGTTTAAAGATAGCACAGCATTTATGTAAACTTTTAAATATATCAAGAGCTTATTTGTATGTCATTTCTTAAAGCCATATTTTTCATGACCTCCTTTACAGAAGGCCAAACTCCTAGAGCACAGGCTAAGAAGCAGTCCCAAACTGCCTGCATGTTTCATCTTCCAACACATTTCTTTGAACAGATGGCACCTGCATGTTTCTGTTTTTCTTTTTGCTGTATGCTAGCAGCTAAAATGTTTTTCACTTCACTTCTCAAGGTTCAAATGAAGTCTTTCCGATAGTCTTCTCTATTCCCAAATGCTACTCAGAATGGCCATTCTTTACATACTACTCGTGACACTGTTTCCTAATGTGTATTTTAGTGATTTACCTGTTTTTTTCTTACAGCTCATAAACTATGTCTTATTTTTGTAGACTTCTCCATGAAATTACATAAATACAAATAATCCCAGGCAGACAATGTACGTTAATAGAAAGAATTTAAAACATAGATTAGTGAAAATGAAAGATACTTTCAACTGCAGGCATATAAGAAAATTTAATTTAGGTTATGGAAGGAGGGAGAAATTTTGGTTATAATCTCAAAGATGAGTAAGCTACAAACAGGTAGAAACAGTGTAAGAGAACTTCATTCCTGACAGAAGAAAACAGGCAAAAGCATAGAAGGAGCAAAGAAAAAGACATCTCTGACTTCTCAGAAATCACTGCAGATGGAACTTAGGGCTCAGGGAGGTGAGTTTAAGTGTGTATCTGGGACCACAGTCACTTTGCCTACTACAATAAGAATAGAGATAAAACTTTAGATCTGAGTTCCATCTGTGTAGTACTAGTCAAACTGCACTGCTGAAGTATCTGCTCTTTCATAATGTGGAGAATAATTTTATTTGATCTTCATTTGTAAAGTAGGGAATATGGCCAAGGATATAGCTCAGCGGAAAAGCACCTGCCTGGCCAGTGCAAGGTCCTGCATTCAATTCACAGTTAAAATATATTTTATATATATATATATATATATATATATATATATATATATATATATATTACCCTTAAAGAAGAGTTTCAATAATTATATATACTGGTAAGTTACTACTGAAGCCATCTAACTGGCAGCAACAGAGTAGAATGGAGGCATTCTATTAAGGTACAGAAAATTACTAGAAGCTGGGGAAGCAGAACACAGAGCAAGAGGTAACAACAGTATAGTAATAAAATCTGCTTGAGAACTACTTAGCCATTCTAGTCTCACTTACTAAAGGTGTCTTGGAATGTAACATATGCTAACACTTACACTAAACTCCTACATACCTCAGGTCTATTTGGGAAATACATTGTGCTGTACTGAACAACTGAGTTCTTTGTCAAGCACATGATGCCTTGGATCTTCTGAAAAGGAGCTAGGGCAAAATCATCTATATACCTTTCTCTTTAATTACGTTGCTCAGAATGATGTAACACATGGGTGGTAGTCAAAATTGTACTCCAAGAATTCTCATGGATTTCAACTGCTGCTCTGAATTTAAAAATTTAGAAATGGTTGCCACCCTTGCACTGCTTAGTATTTCTATCCTAAAAATAATTTCCTTTCGTCTTAGAAATGTCTCCCCATGAAAGTTTTTATAGCCTTTTGAGTACTGTGGTCCCACTATATTTTCTAAATAGTTACTTAGGAAATCTGACAAAACTTTTAGGTAGCTGAGACATTACAGTTCCAAAGTTTTAGCAGGTGCTTGAGCCTTTCCAGATTTAGTCATTTTACTAATTAGAATGGCTTTTCCCAAATGTATGTACATATACATGTGTATTATGTATATACACAGTCAGTCATGGTTTGTTACGTTATGTAGCAATTCTCAGTGTTAAAATGATGCAACACAATGGTGACTTTGGTGCTGATTTTTTTTATTTTTATTAATTTGTGTGTGTGTGTGTGTGTGTGTGTGTGTGTGTGTGGCCAGCTCAGCCCACCAGGGCTGGCTGGCATGTGGTGCTGGGGGATTGAACCGCGGTCCCTGTGCTTTGCTAAGCTTGTGCTAAGTAGGTGCTTTAGACCACTGAGCCATCTCACCAGCCCCATTGGTGCTGATTTTATTTGGTAGCACTTTTCGCTGCCCCCAGGAAGGCTGATTCTGGCTCAAGAAACACAAAAGATAACATAAAAATAGTAACAGGTACATAGAGACAGTCACACTAACCGCCTATAAAAGAAACACATTCCATTATTCCTATGAGCTTTAATTTTGTAGCTTTTAAGTTTTTAAAAGGCGCTTTGATTTTTTACTTATAAATTCTTATTTCATCATCTATGTTTTCTACACTGGATTATTAAAATTATAAGCTTAGTAAGAAAAGTCCTAATATGTATTCATCCTTATACCAAAATGAAGAATAGCACCTGGGCCTAATGGAAGTGGAATGTCAGCAGTAATGCTAAAAAGTAGGGCCCAAGATTCCTTAGTTCCTCCAGATTCACTCAGTAGTCAGGCATTCAAACTTATCACTAAGATATTATTTTTTAAAATCTGTTAACTTGCACAAATGGCACAAAAACAATGATCAACTTTGACATCTCAATGTGATTCACGCAATTCCAAAGGTGGAGGGGAGCCAGTTTCACTTGAGAATGTACTTGCTAAAACACTAAATAGTTATTAAATGCTAACATTTGGGTCTATGCACATCTTTAAAATGTGATAAAATGGGAAATAAAGTACTTCTGCTGCAAGGAGATACATATTATCTTAAAGAGAAATACTCATCAATATTCCAGCTACAAGCTGGAATAGTTGCATTTTAAATGCACCACTGTATCTGTAAGAACCAATTAATTTATTACTCATATGCAGCATTTGGAATTGTCTCAAATATGAAAATCAGGTTTCACTTAAAGGAAAACTAACAATATCTATTGCCAATTATAAAATTCCACTTTTTAAGAGAAAATTAGAATAGTGGGCAACTTATACCTACCACTTTGAGCTTGATACCTTCTCACTACATAAATACCTTTTCTAATGAAGTTAGTCATGATTACAAATATATGTTACATTGGGAAGACATGATCCATTCAGTGAGCTGGTATTTTCCAAATAGCCAGTAATGCATAATGTTACAAAAACATCACAGACAAAAGTTCCATTGAAAGCCCAAGACAAGTGAGCTTCAATCAATATAAAATATTCCTTTAGATAAAAATCAGACAGTACAGTGTAACTAACCAGTAAATTAAGACTGCCACTTAGATATGTAAAACTATGTAACAGTGTCACTCATTTCAGCAACTTTTTTATTTTGTGAAATGTTTTTGTATCATATTAAAATTCAAAAATTTTCAATTTTATCCTCTAATATAAACTGATAAATATAACATAAAAGCTCTTGAAATAACTTGAACACAAAGCTGTGAGTCCAAGATTGAAACACAGTATCTAAAGAATATTTTACATAATTAGTTTATGAAACCGTACATGATTCATTTTTATTTGGTTTTTGGGGGATTTTTGATATTGAGAATCAAATTCAGGGCCTCATGCTTGCCAGGCAGGTGCTGTGCCACTACATGATTCATTTGTAAAAATAATTTCATTCATGTGATCTGAGGTATTATGCATTTGGGGTAGTTGTGGTAATGAAGCAGAAGTTTTTTCCTTCTCATTTATTTTTAATTTCTTCTATAATTAAGACTTTTATAAGTAATGTAAATGGTATGATATAAAGGCTTTTTAGCTGGCTGCTACAAAGCTTAACGTATGATACTTAGATAATTTATGTCTATAGCCACAAAGAGAACGTTGGGTGCCTTTATGTAACCTATTCTGTCCCCACCTATAATTTCCATTCTCTTTTCTCTATCACTTTTTAACTCATGCTTTTATTCGCAAAGTGCACCCATACAAAATACTTTCTGGAAAAAAAGCAATTTTAAATAATCATTGTAGTATATAAAGCTCTTTAAAACAGATTCTGGGGGCCCAGGGAGATAGCTCAGTAGAATAAGCACTTGCCTGGCAAGCACAGGGTCCTGAGTTCAATCCCTGGTACCAGGGAAGGAAAAAAAAAAAAAAAAGATTTTGGGGCCCACCAGATACAGCTGGGATTCCATCCCCAGCTGGCCAGTGGGCCAGCCAGCCCACCCCTGGGGCACAGAGGGTGATTGAGACTGGGCGTGGTGGCGCACACCTGTAATCCTAGCTCTTGGGAGGCTGAACACAGGCAGATCACTAAGAGTCCAATCTATGCAGTGAGACCCTGTACTAAATACAAAAAAAAAAAAGATTCTGATTGGTAC